AGGAGGAGGAGGAGGAAGAAGAGTCTGCTGTGATGGCATGGAGCGTAATGCCACCGTTGTCTGTCTGCTGTCCGCTGCCGCCCGTCACCCAGGGGTGGAGTAGGATCTGCTCCAGGGTTGGCCGGTCAGACGGCTGCAGGCTCAGACACCAGCCAATCAGATGCTCGCAATCTGTGACCGAAAAAGGGATAGGTGAAGAAGAACCATGACAGGAAATTAGCATCAACAACAACAAACTGGAAGAACTGTTTAATACTGTCAAATATTTTATCCAAAACAAAGGTTTTTTTAATGCATGTCCACTTACTTTTGGCCATACTGTATAACTGCTGATTTCATTCATAGAAATGAATTACTTAAATTAAATCAATTATTAATTAATGAATGGAGATCAGTCTACCTGAGGAGATTTTTCGTCTGAAGTAGACCCGCCCTCTCAGGATCTCCTCGTCCTGTTCGAAGGGGATGTCGCCACACACCATGTCATACAGCAGCACGCCGAGGGACCAGACGGTGGCCGAGCGGCCGTGGTACCGGCGGAAGCGGATCCACTCCGGAGGACTATACACCCGCGTACCTGGAGTCCGGAGACAGGGAGTGTTAGGCATTTTATATTATCAGCGGTATACGACAGTGATCTTACTGAGGCTCATAAATGCAGCCATTCCTCGGTTGCTACAGTCGTCATGACAACAGAAAGGAAAGGAGAGGTGTGGAAACAGCTGCAGCAGGAAGTTACAGACAGACCATAACGTTGCTCTATAGCTGCTGGTCACAAGAGTAGCAGCAGATGTTTCTGGAACCAACGAAGACGCTGATGATCTGTCCTCACCCAACATAACAGGGCTGGTGCATGATGGGAAAGACAGGTCCTACATTCTGGTTTCACAGTGAACACAGTTATTCTGTCATCATGTTGACCCATCACACATGTACTTCTGTACAATCTTGTAATCCCCGGACCCCTAACCCTAAAACCAAGTCAAAATTTTGGGCTACGAAATCGTGGGCTGTGCTTGAACATATTAGTATCCACCCCCGCCTTTAAGTCTTTCTAACATTTGTCCTCATGGTCTAAAAACATCGCAGCGCTTTCCAAAACTGTCCCAATTTCCTTACAAACATCCTTATTTTCAAAAACATCCTCAGTTTGTAAAACCGCTGTCACTTTTCAAAGATATCCGACTTAACTAAACTTCCTCGCCCTACAAAAAACAACGTGTAAAACTCACGAGGATGGAACGATTTTGACATCTCTGTGGATAGACCTGAAACTGATGATTCACATATAATGTCCAAACTTTTCAGACTTTTCTACAGGTTTTTTTTTTTTTTTTTGAGTTTCTTTTTTTTTCTGTTGTCATGACAACTGCACCACAATCATTTCAGTAATTTGATGCGGCTCGCAGATTACCATAAGATGGTCACACTCACCATCGAACTCAGTGTAGGCGGTGTCTTTGAGAAGGGCCCCTGACCCGAAGTCGATGAGTTTGATCTGTCCAGTCCTCAGGTCCACCAGCAGGTTCTCGTCCTTGATGTCTCGGTGGACGACGCCGCAGATGTAGCAATGACGCACAGCCTCGAGCACCTGCAGGAAGAAGTCACGCGCCGCCGCCTCGTCCAGCGCACCACGCTCTGTGATGTAATCAAACAGGTCCTGCCCCGGCTCGGGACGCTCCATTACCATCAGCCAGCCGTCCGGCCGTTCCCACCAGTCCAACAGTCGCACCACGCCGCCAAATACCCCACCCACCTTCTTCAAGAGCACAATCTCCAGAGGAACCACTGCGCCACACTGAGAGGATCAAAGAGAAAATTGAAAGATATATTATCAATGCACTGTCCATGAAAGTATAGTTAGAAAAAACTAAACATTGTAGCAATTTGTGTTTGGCATCTTTGCCTAAAAACTACCGTCTCCAGCCGTTAACATGGCTGAGGCAGATGAGCGCCCCCTGCTCGAGGTTTCTACCTCTTAAAAGGATTTTTTTCCTTGCTACTGTCACCAGGTACTTGCTCATGGTGGGAACTGTTGGGTCTCTGTAAATCATTTTATAAGGAGTACGGTCTGGACCTACTCTATTTGAAAAGTGTCCTGAGATAAGCTTTGTTATGAATTGGCGCTACGAGTATGTATATTAACATGCAATATACTATACTATTATTTCCAACTGTGCTCTTAAAGTTAATAAAGGTGTCCAACAGGGATCTATTCTTGTTCCTCTTCTTCCAATCCACATATTGATGTACACAAGAAAATGTCCTTGTGTTTAAGCTTTCTAATAAACAGAAAGTTGTTTTAATTGTTAACTAAATGTATTTTAAAGGCCAGTGAAGAAAATCCTGCCACTGTTCTTTGAATACATCTAAATGTATTAACACATTCATTAAGTTACGTAAAAGCACATTTTAAGTTTAAATCTGTCATAAAAGATTTTAAAACATACTGAGGGGTTCTGAACTTGTTCCTGTAATTGTTTTCTTTATTGTGGAACTAATTTTTCTATTGTGTACATAAACTGTGTTAGAATTAAGTTGTCAAGTCTGTTGAAAGAGATTCTTGATCTCAATGAGATTGCCTTTTTAAATAAATGGTTAACTATCTAATAGCAGCTGAGGTGGTAATCAGTTCATCTGCAGGTGAAAATGCAGGTAAATCTCACCAGAGAGCCCCACTCGGTCACTCTGTCCCTGCACACATGCTTCACCGCCACCTGCATGTCAACAGAAATAACATCATTAACACACAGCTGCTCCATACAGTTAAATATGACACACAACATAAGGGGCAGAATAAATCCTCTCTATATATAAAAACACAAAATAAAGAGCAGTCATACAACAAACCAGCAGCAATAATGAAACTCTGACTGTTAACAGTAACATGAAGCTCTTTGTTTGCTGCCTCGGTCTTTGAATGTTTTTCTTACTTTATAAATAAAAAAGGATTTTCCCAACAGTTTGGGGAATATTTTTATTTTTAAATGTGTAACCACTTCCTGCTCCTAAGAGTATAAAGTGAAACAGCAAGATTAGTTTTCAATATAAGAACAGAGTAAAGCTTCATGTACCACATTTCTTTGTGAAAACAAAGAGCACATGCCAGACAGGAGGACTGTGCTGCCTCAAGCTGCACAGCATCAAGCTGCACAGCTGACAACAGTAAAAGAGGAAGTAAAGACAATAGACACTGCCCTCCAAATAAAAGCACAAAGTCAACACATAATGTTTACAGCTAATTGGGCACAGCAGTTGTGGTGATCTGAAAATATTACTCTGCACCTATACTGGCAGTTTTAAATATTATAACAGAAATCACAAGTGAAAACTGAAATGTAAGCTGTTTACTTTAAATTGTGCAAAATATAGACAGCAGCCCCAATTATTTGGGAAGGAAGGAATCAATCAGGGATGTAAACAGCTTTAATATAAATATTAGTAATAATAATGTGGTGAGATTGTTAGCGGCTGTCCAGGAAGAACTGAGCTGGACCTTTTCAGCCAAGATGAACAAGATACCCCAAAGATGTCCTTAAAATGCAATTCCATGACAACAGAGCTAACTCTAACTTCTGGAAGATCTCTAAAAGGGCTAAATAAACCTTGTGGTGCGCCTGTAGTGTCAACTACTTTTTCCAAGGTCGAGGATGACCTTTAACAATATTTATGAAGACTAGTGCGGCTTTTATTTTTAAAGGCAGAAACCGGAAACGCAGCGGCTTGCCGTGCGTAACTTGACGCTGCGAGCCGCGGCCATGTGGAGCGACCAAAACAAAGCAGCTCCCCCCGCTCTTACCGGCAGCCCGTCGGCGAGGCGGACGGCCGAGTAGACTGTACCGAAACCTCCGCTGCCGACCACCGAACCCAGCCGGTACAGCTTCTCAAAGGGCTGCTTCTCGGCTTTGGCTGAAAAACACAGGAAAAACAAAAACAAATGAGCAATATTCCGTGTGATTGGGGCGGTGTTGCGCCAAAATCTGTTACCCCCCCAACACCAACACAGAAACAAACACGTCGGTGTCCTCCGCGTGTTGTTGTTTTTCTGCTTCACACTTCTCTCTTCATATAAAAGGATTTTAAAGAAAAATACTGAATTAACTCGCCAAGAAAACACAGCCGAAAAATCAGAAAATACACACGAGTACACAACCAAATGTCCTCGGATGACCCACGTTGTGCTTTGAGTCAGCAGTTTAAAAATGGTGGACTGTCGGTAGCATCATTATTACTGTCAAATAGGGATTATTTTAACGGTGTTACACGACTAACTAAAGTGAAAAGAAAGGTGCCGTTTTATCAGAGGAGATGGGGGTTTTTACTCAGAGATAACTACACGTTTTGGCACCATATCTGCCTTTCAAAATGGCCCCAGACAGTGTTATTAAAAGGTCATAAGTAGCAACCATCCACCAACTGATTAGAGGATTCATAATGTACTTAACGTTATCTAAATTTAAACACAGCCAGCTTCAACCGGTCCGAGCATTGTTCGCCGTGTTATGTGACCGGATTCGGGATTTCAGCTAAATCCACCTGGGGTTAATTTACGGTGAGGCGTCCCTGAGCTGACCGGTTGGGGTTAGGTAAAGAGAAAGTAATCCGGTCACAGAATACGGTGCAACACCGGCATGTTGTCGTTGCCACTGTTACCTTGCTGCAACTGGAGTTTCGCCGGCAGATCCATGCTGGATGAGATGTGAGAGAAGGAGCCCAGCTTAGAGAGCAGCATGCTGCTCCCACAATATGAAAACACACCCGGGAAATATTCGCCTAATAAATCCCAGATAACAGCGGAGGCCAGTGCCCTTTTCACGGGTGAAATAAAACGGAAGCACGACGAGAATCCATCGAGAGTCCCTTCGTTTACACAGACGAAAAGTAAGAAAAGAGCCCGCATCCACAGGAGCCCGCCAGTCTGCCTGCCTCTCACTGCGCCGCTGCCAATCTCTGCAAAGAACAGGTAGATCCTTCCGCCTGGCCCCCGCTGAACATTAAATAACACCAAAATAACCCCAAAAAATCAAACCTGGATAAACAACGGTTTGCTGAGTCACATCTGTTCAGCGTGAAATTTAAAGCAGTGACGCGAAAGGAAACCTTAAACCAATAAGAAAACACGCGGACTACTTTTACGGTGTAGGACAGGCGCAGGGATTCAGAGAGAGAGAAGCATCATCATTAGGCATATCAATATTATTAAAAAGCTTTAAAACATAACTAATGCATCATAATAACAATGATAATACAACGCTGTAAGAAATATTATAGTGTAACGTTACATTGTAATATAACAATCTGCATGCTCAGATTTTAATGAACTTAAACTGAACATCACTCAACATGATTATGTAAATGATACTCTTAAGGCTTGCAGTTCATCCATCAGGGTGACTCAGCCTGAAATCACATTAATCCAAGCAATTCAGCTCTCAGCAGTTATTCGGTAATAAAGATAACATAATAGGACAAGATAATCTGTTATCGATCCACCAGAGGGGAAATTCGGGTGTTACGGCACAAAGACAAAGAAGTACAGATAAATAGAGAAACGTAAAGCATATATAATTAATACAAGTATAAGACTAGAGTAAAATAGAAAGTATACAAGAGCAAATTAACTCAAACTAAGGTACACTGTTATCAATGCCCACATGCTTTCCAGCAGTGATGGAAGAAGTGTTTGGATCCTCACACAAGTACCACAATGTGAAAGTAACTGCTAAAGAGAGCCCTGAAATACATAAATAAGTAATAAAGCCTAAAATTGTACTTGTATTAAGTACCTGATAGTGAGTGACCCTCTGGTGAGGAACACTGCAGCGTGAGTGTGTGTATTCAAACACAGCCTGGGTGATGACAGAGAACAGGAAGAGATGTAACACAGATTCACAGATACAATTTAATTGTTTACAGATGAAACCATTTCCCTCTGCTTGAGTCATCTACTTCATTCCTGAGCCTGAATTTCCCAGAATGCTTTTCAAAACCACCCAGAGAACTGTGTGAAACCGGTAAATGCACTTTAATGTGATGATTTTATTATGCAGTTGTCTGTGTTATTACTCATGTTCTCCTGCATACTCCCTCCTATTATTATTATATATATTATTATTATTTTATACTGCCTGTGACTCAGAAATCATTTATGCAACAAATAACATTCATATGCAGCTTCAGAAATCATTTCTTTTCTTTTACAGTATAATTCCTCTGTTTCAGTTCTGATAGTTCACCACTTCCATAGACATTGTATTTATGTCCTTAAACTAAGTTCAAATTTTTAAAAAATTAAAAACTATTGCACACTGACCAAATGTATATGAGCTCATTATGATAAATATTTTTTTAGCCATTTTGTTGTGACCACAAAATTTGATATATCATCATCTCTTAACGGTCCAGTGTGTAACAT